AAATTTATACCAACTCTTCTAGAATTTGAGATAGCAGCACCAACTTTAGTTTTTCAAATGTAGGTCATAGCTCACTATATCTTAGTTACAAATAACTTTTTTTCTCTTACAGATGATATGTCGCAGTAGTAGTTTTGTGTTGATAATAACGGAATTATCGTCATTTATACAAAAACAAAAAATTATTTGGAAGCCACCATCTTGAATTTATAAATTTTAACAAAAAAATCATGATCTCCGACCTCAAAAACCTCCACTTACCAATTTTGAATGGAATCGGACCAAATCTTGTCCGCCATCTTGGAGCAGCCATTTTTTTTCAATTTCAACAAAAATTCCATAATGTATTGTCACCGAAATTATGAACACCTGCCAAATTCCAAGTTGAGTTATGGGATTTTTGTTGAAATTAAAAAAAATGGCTGCTCCAAGATGGCGGACAAGATTTGGTCCGATTCCATTCAAAATTGGTGAGTGGGGATTTTTGAAGTCGGAGATTATGATTTTTTTTTCAAATTCATAAATTCAAGATGGCGGCTTCCAAATAATTTTTTGTTTTTGTACAAATTAATGACGATAACTCCGTTGTTATCAACACAAAACTACTACTGCGACATATCATCTGTAGGAGAAAAAGAAGTTATTTGTAACCAAGTCATAGTGAGCTATGATCCACATTTGAAAAACTAAAGTTGGTGCTGATATCTCAAATTTTAGAAGAGATGGTATAAATTTCATATTTTTTTGGAAATCACTTTGAAAAACTGCCATAAGAATGTGAAATTCTTATTTGAATATTTTCATAAATAAAGAAGTTACGGAGGAGACATGAAAATGATCAAAATCTGTTTTTTGCGTATAAAACAAAAACGAATAGATTTTATCAAAATATGATTTTACATTATAGTTGGCCTTGACAAACTCCACAGTTGGTGTCATTCAACCGACCTCGTATCTCTCACCGTTAAAAAGATACCCATGGTGAGTATGGTAAGTGGGACACACTGTATATCTAAAACATTCAAATGCGTATTTACACATCCGAAGCTCAAAAAAAAACAGCAACAAAACGCGTGTAAAATAGCATCAAAAAACTATCCATACCAATAAAGTAATTGTATAATAAAATTAATATTAAAAAAAAGACAACGATAATCTTCACGCAATCACGATATGTAAATCACAGTGTTCACTGCCAATAAAAAAAACATCTAATGAGCTTAAACTTACGTTGTCCACCTATTTGAGCACCTTTGAGCATCTGGTATTGCACGTGGCAGTAGATTCTTTTTACAGGGCGATCCGTTAGAGAGATCGGTATCGAAGCACAAGAAAAATTACCTAGCAAATCTAAGAGTAAATGAGTGGACGGATCGCCCTTCCGATATACAGGGCTTCCTAAAATAGGATGCCGATAATAATTAACGATACTGAAAATGAGGGACTCAAAAAAGCTAGAAAAACATTGAAAAATCCACCAAGTAGTAATCAATCATTCAGTGTACTGTATTCAAGAGAGAATTCCGGAAACAGCTGCAAATAGTGTAAATCGGAAAGCCCCATCAAAATTTCATTACTAATGAATATTGAAAATTTGCTAAAATCAAAGGAAGAATCCACAAAAGTAGTGTGAATTAATCTTCTCAATGATCAAGAAATCAAAATGAAACACAAGTTTATTTTTGAAACCAATAGAATTTCAGCTTCATCAGTGATGTTGATTTGGTTCACAAGATTCAATTTTCATTAATTTCATGTGAAACTTGCTTTCAGATCTGTCAAAATCGAGATGAAAATTGATGGGGGACGATTTTTCTATCCAGAATTTCATTTATACAGGGTTGTCCATGAAAAAGAAGCCATCACTAAATTCACATTATACAGGGTGATTCAGGTTTTAAGGCACAAACTGAAATGGAAGATAGATCTCATCATTCTGATCAAGAAAGTTTATATAAACATTAGTCCGATCTCGTTCAAAAGCAAAGCTACAGGGGGCCAAAGCTTAATTATTTTTTTCTATTAATTGAAATATCTCGCTGACTTTTTGAGATATTATTTTGAAATTCGGTGTGGTCAATACTTCCTAGAAGATCATCATTTCAAGCCATTTAAAGATTTTCAAAATCTACAGGATAATACGTTTTTGGGGGGGAGAGGCTTCCTTATTCCCCCAAACTATTCCGTAGTACGCCTCTGGCATCTTTCAGTGATCAAATTGTGTGGATCGTTCAATTCAGAAGCTTTTTTTGGTCTTCAATTTTTCTCGAGAAACGAACCGTTTTTGAGATAAATAAGCATATACGTTCTAAAACATGTTAATTTTGCCTATGTTTCGCTCAAAAAAAAAACCTTGACTTTCTACCCTCTGTATTCCCGTTACTGATCCAGATTGGACTCGTGATTGCAATTTTAGTGAGTACATTTCATTGCACTTTCAACGTAAATAGAATGTTAGCGAAACATAGGCAAAATTAACATGTTTTAGAACGTATATGCTTATTTATCTCAAAAACGGTTCATTTCTCGAAAAAAATGAGAGAGCAAACGAGCCTCTAAATTGAACGATCCACACAATTTGATCACTGGAAGATGCCAGAGGCGTACTACGAAAAAGTTTGGGGGGATAAAGAAGTCTCTACCCCCAAAAATGTATCACCTTGTAGATTTTGAAAATCTTTAAATGGCTTGAAATGATGATCTTCTAGAAAGTATAGACCACACCAAATTTCAAAGCGATATCTTGAGAGGAAAGCGAGATATTTCAATTGATAAAAAAAAAATAATTCAACTTTGACCCCCTGTAGCTCCGCTACTAAACGAGATCGGACTAATGTTTATATCAACTTTTTTGATTAAAATGATGAGATCTATCTCTCATTTCAGTTTGTGCCTTAAAACCTGAATCACCCTGTATATCGATAAAAAAAAAATTATATTCGAAATCAGATGGCTTTTTCACGACCCTTATAAGAGCAACCCTCATAGCGTAATAGTCCACAAAACCATTTATTAAATGAAACACCCTGTTTTCCTTATTATTTTTTCAAACTCTGTCGTCTTTTGCAATCACATATTTACAAGATGATTCAGTACCAAGTTACACACATTAAATGGCTTGCAGACAAACCTAAATCATGGAAATACATTTTTCATTTGAAAATGTCTTTTAACCTAAATATTATATTTTTTTCTGCATTTCGCGTTTCCAAAATGTTGAAACATTTTTTCACAATTGTTTTGTCGGCGATTGGGTTGTTCCTGGATATTTCCCAATGCCGCCTCTTTTATCATAACTTACCCTAATCTATTAGCCATTCCAATTTGTAGCACTTGCAACTGATTCACCTTGTATAACAGTGTTATCTTCTACTGTTCCTTGTTCTTTCCGAGACTTAAGTTACGACAGGAAAGAGATAATATTCCTCAGTCAACCAAAATAAGGATTCATTTCTTCACCCTGTACAGGGTGTTCTAAATTCGAGGGGTATCATTGGGATCTCGGTAATTATAACAGATACAAAGTTGGTTAAATTAGGGCAAAGTTGAGCTATTTGATGCTGATCAAAATGCAGCCTCAAAAAAACAAAAAAGGAAATTCCGAATACTTCTGAAGATATTAAAAAAAACGAATATCCGCGATTTCACTTAAATTTTTTTCTGACTTTATTGTTTGAAGTGATATGACAAAATGAGTTTCATATCATCATTGCTACTTTTTCCGTTCTATCCAATGGTATTCATAGATTTGTAACGTTTCGTCTTCGAGGAGCCATCATCAACTTTGTGATTTGAAGTCGAAAAATAAATTGTATCCCAAAAAAAATCTAATTCCAATTCTGAATCCAATGACGTATTAAACTTTACAATTATCCGAAGTTTCGGGCCAAAGAATCATCATCAGTGTTAAATGATGACTGTTATGAGAAAAAGGAACGTCGGATTAAAAATCTGATGACAACGAAGTTTCTGATTCTAAGAAATGATTTTTTTCTAATTTTCTCCTCTCTAGGTCACTGTCCTCAGAATTGGAATCAGAGTTTTCTGGAACAAAAAAGACAAAACGTCGGACCACAAATCTAAGAGCGGAAAAAATGGCAATGATAGTATGAAACTCATTTCGTCATATCATTCCAAATGGAGTCCGACTTTGTATTTTTTACGGTTACCGAGATCTCAATGTTACCCCTCGAATTTGGGACACCCTGTACAGGGTCATTCCGTATATTCAAACAGCTTCCGCAGGGTTCATCATTGAAGATAGAAAAAACTTGAAATACAAAAGTTGTAGGGTTTGTTCTGAACCTCCAGAAAATTGTACGAGGTCAAACAAATGAATATCGCTGATATCAGAAATGGGTACCAACTTCGTTCTTTTCAATGGAATACCCTATATATTTTTCGAAAAAATTGAAGATATTTCTTTTCCGATTTCAAAAATATATAGATTGTTGATATTCGGTTCAACCGTTTTCAAAATATTCGAGGTTGAACATTTCTTAGTTACAATTTGGTTTTACCTAATCGCAGTTGCCATGAAGAATCAAACGTAAAATAATGGAAATTTTATGTTGGTAACATTGGAAATGGAAAAAATAGAGAAGATCACATTAACCTCAATATAAAAATGGTTGATATGGTCTTCACCTCCATGTCTCCTCATTTCCTGTATTGCCAACATAAAATTTTCATCATTTTTGATATCAGAAAAGAATTATCTTCAATCAGTCAAAAAATATATAGCGTGTTACATTGAAATTAACGAGGTTGGTACCGATTTCTTATATCAGCGATATTCTTTTCTTTCACCTCGTACAATTTTCTAGGAGTTTCAAAACAGACCCTACAACTTCTGTATTTCAACTTTTTTTCATCTTCAATGATGAACCCTGTAGAAGCTTTCTGAATTTGCGGAATGACCCTGTAAATATCGCATCGAATCGGCATCCTATTCGGAAACCACCCCGCAAAACCGAGCCCTGTCACAGCCTCGCGATCGGTTACGAATCGGGATGGACTATCTCCATGATGTACACTTTGCCGTTGTCATCTATAGTTAGAAAAGAGTTGAAATCGTTGGAAGCCGACACGTACTTGGCCTTGCCGTTCAACTTGATGCAGGCCAAAAGGTGAGAACAGCCCGGCAAGGGCTGGCGATCGCCCCACAGGGATATGTTCATGGAGCGCAAGTCGCAGCTGAGATTGTCCAAGATGTCGATGCTGGAACAAATTTCAGATTCAACTAGGGTGAATCGCGATTGTAACTGGGTCCAAAGCTCAACCGTGCGGTGCACCTCATTTTTTATGCGAGTTACTGTCAGCGCTGGGTATATGGCGAATGTAACTGGGTCCAATGCTGAACCGTGCGGTGCACCTCATTTTTCATGCAAGTTACTATCAGTAATGGGTAAATCGCGAATGTAACTAGGCCTAATGCTGAACCGTGCGGTGCACCTCATTTTTTATACAAGATACGAACAGCAATGGGTAAATCGCGAATGTAACTGGGCCCAATGCTGAACCGTGCGGTGCACCTCATTATTCATGCAAGCTACGATCAGTGCTGGGTACATCGCGAATGAAACTAGGCCCAATGCTGTACCGTGCGGTGCACCTCATCTTTCATGCAAGTTACGATTAGTAATTAAATACTTCAAATAATGACATGACAGGTCAAATATGAAAAAATAAAAATTAAAAGGTCTAGCTGAAACGAATACATTTATCTAACAATACTTCCTATTTTCAAAAAATCAACAAAGCCCAAAAGTCACATAAACCTCACTAGAAATCAGATTCTAGACGTCAGTCCCTGCGAATTGTCTTATTGTTTTTTCAAAAATGTTCACCCCTCAAACAACCGACTCTTAGTCACAAGCCCCATGTGGACTTTTAGTATATGAGGACCGTTGCGTTGCAACGGTGGAGGTGGAAGGCAGTTAAGGCTGTTCCTAGTCACTCTCAGTGATTAGTAATGTCCCGTACCGGGGTCTCATATCGATTGGGCGTAAATAACAAGGATTGATCACTAGGCCAGGCAGAAAATTTCAACAAAGCATTCATAATTTTGGCCTTTAAAATGTTTATCACTAAACAGGAATGTTAAATCATCTGCATAAGGAGTGGTTACTGGTAACTCATTTAGGCTTAAGATAAAAAACAAGGGTCCAAGTATGGATCCCTGTGGAACTTCTTGTGCATTTATCATAAGATCAGACATATATTATGTAATTCCTTCATCAATAATTTTGACGGATTGTTCCTGTTGTCTAGGTAGTAGTGGGTAGTATATTAGATCCTTAAATAAATAAAATAAATTAAATCCTTTCCTATCCACAGGCTTTTTTAATCTCGAAAATTATTGAAAACTGCAGTTTGATTTTTCGAAAAACTTGAGGGATACAGTTCAAGTTATTACTTGTTCAAATTTAGACTGTCATATGTCAATATCTAGCTGCAGTGTGATTGTCCGGAATCATGATGCTATCTTACTTAACTAATTTCATATTGGGATCGCACAAGGCACAGTAATGAGACCTTTCCTATCCGCATTCATTTTGCGCCAGATTTCTTAGTGTCAATTGAATGCCGCAAAGCTATAGTTTTTACTTCGTGTTCACATTCAATAATACCCCATTTAATTGATATTAAATTGCTACTTAGATTGTTCAAAATGTTGATTTTGAAAATTTTCATTGAACTTAGTTAAATCGCAAATATAACTAGGCCCAAAGCTGAACCGTGTGGTGCACGTTATTTTTGAGTTCCAAAATGCAGAATTCATGTTCGCTCCGGCCTCAAGTGATGAAATGTTTAGCACACCTCTACGATATAATTCTCGAAATATGGGAATGAAAAATGTTGAGAAACTCCTGCCCAATGATACATATATTTTCTTTATAACCCCAAAAGTGTTGTCAAATTGATTTTATTTCTCACCTTTTCGGTCTTCCGCGTTTCTTCTTCGTCTCCAGAAAACTCTTGAGATTCCACCAGGCGATCTGCTCACCCAAACTGACCAAAATGGGCTCCATATTCGGCGAAAACAGCAAATCTTCCACTGGATCGTCATGCAAGTCCAGAGATATGGTCGGGTACTTGTCGAAAGTCTTCCAAACCTGAAACAAAAATCATATGATTCGTCTCAAACTCTTGAATATCTACACTAACAGTGTGACCCACTTGAAAATTGTATTGAAGTGTCCCGCTTTTAAGTGGGTCACACTGTAGATAACCGCCACCTACTGAGTAGAATTTCCGCCTTTATTGGTCTTGTAAGGATGGTTCATCTGGCTAGTGTAAATAATTAAGGTAACATTTTGATTTGGAAGAAACAATTTCGAACCTTTATCTCTCCCGATAGGAATCCGAGCGCCAACAGTTTTCCGTCGCTGGAAAAGCAAGCAGATCTGGCTTTGCCAGGCAGCTGCAGTCTTTTGTCCAATTCCACGCTGTCAGCGCCCTCTGTTGGCAAGTACACGTCCAGGAAGTAGCTGGTCGCCTGCATATACACAATCGCCAGAGATCCTTGAAAAAATTGCACACAAAATGATGTTATATACCGGGTGAATCAAATAAGGTGGGCAATAGTTAGAATTTTGTCGCTGATTACGATTATGGCAACAAAAAATTTAGCATTTTCTACTATAGTTCAAACTTCAACAATCAAACTTTACTGAGGAACCAATTTTGGTCTCTTCATCAATATCACAACAATTTAAAAGCACCAAAATTAGCGAGTGGGAGTTAAAAATATTCAATTTCACAAGGAACTTGAAATAAATTGAACAAAACTAAAATTCAGTTTCTATAAACCAAAATTCTGAAATCTTGTTTTTTTCAGACGTTGTTTAAGCTAAAATATCAATTTAAATACATCCTTCAAAAGAAAACTCGAAATTGTTCAGAGATAAGGTTTGTAAAATATCTGCATTATATAAAATGACATTGAAAGTACTACACTACACTGTTTTACCACTAGCCAAACCGATTTTTTAACGCCTCGACACGTGTTTCGCTAACTATGTTAGCATCTTCAGGAGAAGATTAAAATCAGTTTTAATCTTCTCCTGAAGATGGTAACATAGTTAGCGAAACACGTGTCGAGGCGTTAAAAAATCGGTTTGGTTAGTGGTAAAACAGTGTAGTGTATTATCGTGCCAAAGGTTCCAGTCTTCGATATATTGAAAGTACTGTATCGTTTACCATATGATACACCAACAAATCAATTATATAAAATAACTGAATTATTCTCATTAGAAGAAATGTTCAAAATTGAAAATATGAAAATTACATACAATATCATAAATAAAAGATTGAAATCCAATTTTATTTCAACACGAAACAATTAAAGTCATGATTACCAAACTAGACATGTTTTATTTCATCTTCATATCGCTAATTCTTCTATAGGCCAAAAATGATTAACCCACGCTGCTCTTTTCGAATGTAACAAATTACCAGATAATATAAAAAATCGCAGAAATACAATAAAAATCGAATACCAACTTAAAAATTTTATCATTGCTGAACGAAATAGATGATTTACTTTCTTTTCCAACTTTTGATTTATATTGAAATTGATTGTTGCTCACCAATATGAAATGATTAGTCAATATTTAATACTTAATATTTTCGAATATTATATTATTTATGAGTTTATTATAATTGTATAGTTTTAGGTATTATTGTTAACTATACTTCCTTATACCAAAACTTGATTGTGACTGGAGGTCATATTTTCAATAAATAAATAAAAAAAATAAAATTCTGTCACTATTTTCTCTACCCTCTTTCATATAACATCCCACAATCTTCACTCATTCAAGTTCAGTAGTAAAAAACTCACATTCACATTTGTACAGTATGTTTATGTTATCATTCTCATATTTCGGACTAGAATGAACGATTCACATTCATTTTTCTCAAAATGGTTCTATCCACATTGGATATTCTATGAATCGAGTTTGATTGATTATAATGATCAAAATTACACCACAAACATCAGGACTATAGTAGGCATCTTATTTTTTTGAAAACTGGTTGCATATTCCATTAATTCATCTTTTGAAAAAGGGCATTTTCATTGACAACCATTTTTTGTTCTCCAAATAATGTTTGTGAAAAAATAAAATGAATTCAAGTCACTTTCAAAAATGCACATTTACTGTTATTCAATTCAAAAACTTCAGCTTGGTTTTCCAGTTATTGCTGAGATATTTTTTCTGTATAAAATATTTCTGTAAGATAGTTATCACAATATAAATTCCGGAAATAATTCTATTCTGACCTTTGTGGGGACAAAAACAGGCTGTGACGACTTCTACCGGCTCGAAGATATGCCGATTTTCGATTTGTACGAAATTATCGCTATCCAAGTCCCACTTGTAGATGCTGCAGAACGAATCGACGATCACCATCTGCGAGTTCTTGTAGAAAATCAGGGGTTTGAGGATGCTCCTCTCCAACCTATCGCCTTGCTTGAAAACGGCGATCCGATCGTTACCAAAAACGCACACCACC